CTTTCTCCCACATCACCTAACTAGGGAATGCTTAATGTGACTTGAAGGAAATGAAGACAGCGACCTAAAAGCACACAGATGCAGACTTCCAGGAAGAGGTTTTCCCATCTTGCTGGACCCTGTAGTGTCGGTATTTGGGGGTCCCTCTAATGCCACATTTCTGCTGAGCCTGCAGACATACTCGGAACCCATCACCTTCGGGCTCCCAAACTCAGGCTCCGCACAGCCCGCGAGGGAAACGGTCATGGGCACGCACCGACACGTTTCCATCTCTGCATGTTTATCTACGTCGACTGGGAATTCAAGCAAGGGTGGCCCTCGTGGACAACCTACGAGCCTTAGGGACACAAAAGGCTTCCTGTGCAAATTGCATGGAATCTCCTGACAGGATTTCGCGCTAATGATCATTCATAGGTGGGTTCTGGGGCTGGGCCCCACGGAACTCGTCTTGGTTGTGTCTTGGACTTCTCACTGCCCCCCAAAGGAGCCTACTACTGTGGTTTTATGGTCTGAGGAACAGTTAGGCCTCGAAGGCCTGGCCTAGGGAGAGTGCACTCTGCATCCCGAGCTCCCGCCTTCCCCACTCAGCGGCCGGGACCGAGTTTCCCGCCCCACAGCCCGACCAGAGGTTGGTGGCAGTTGGAGGCAGTTGGGACCGGCCCCAGCAGGTTGGAACCGGTCTGGGCCGGGCCGGAGGAGGAAGGGGGGGAGGAAGAGGCCGCCTCGCGCTCTCCCTGCGCGCGTGACTCACGCTGGCCGCTGACGTCAGGCGTGCGCGCGCGGCGGGGGGGGGCTCTACGTACGTGTAGTGCTGCGGTTTCTCGGGCTGTGCCTGCAGCACCTGAGCGGTAGCGGCCGGGGGCGCCGAGGAAGCTGCGGAGCCGCCGGGCCCGGGGCCCTTCGACATGGTCTTGTCTTCCTGCCTCTTCGCCGCTCCCCTTTTATTATTCAGTCTGCGCGGTCCGCGCCGAGGACCCAGTACGCTTGCGCCGCGCCACGAGAACGTGAAGACCCCCCACACGGCAGCATGGGTTGCTGGGAGTTGTGGTTCTATGTCCGACTGGAATTTTACCGTCGGCAGAGGGTTGCTGGCAAAGCGCGGGACCACAATACCCAGGGATCCGTGCTGCTAGTGTCCCGGATGGTGAGGGCCTGCGACGGCTTCTGGGAATTGCAGTCCGGTCGCGTTTATCCTTCTTACCAGCGCGTTTTCAGTTTCAAAGGGAAACCTCTCCATGAAACTGGAGCGCCTGGAGAAGGGGCCCAGAGCTAGGGAGGCCCTAGCGACTTCTGCGAAAGAGTTCCAAGTATAGTTTCACTGCCAACGGTGTCATAACTACTTTGCCTTTATACTTAGTACATCTTGGGTCGGTTCTAATGCCAGCTCAGAGCAGTGCCTCCAAGCAGGGCTTAAGAATCTGTATTGTCGGTTCTTAGTTCTGGGCCCTGTGCTGCAGGCACCTGCAATCCGACAGCAACCCCTTCATCCTTGCGGCGGGTCTAACCTGAGAGGGATTGAGAAAGCTTTGCTAAGGAGGAGAGTTCCCGCGCGTTTGCCGAGGCGCTTCATTTACCTTTACCAGTCTCGACACCTGGAACTCCACGACTTGTGTGCCTTCTCAGCCTGACACCTGGCCTGACCAACTTGTTTCCAGTACATTAAGGGCCAAGAACGAATTTAATCTCCGCCTAGAATAGTCTCTGAGGTACATTGACAAATTGCAGGCAACTTGTCAGTGTTGAGAAGCATCACAGTGTCCAGAGGAAAGGCCTGGGTTTGAGTAGGGCGTGCCCGTATTTATCCACTCTAGTTTTCTTCTCTGGACGTCAGCCTTTTTACTTGGGACATTATCTTTCCCATCTCTGCTTCCCACCAGTCAAGCAAAGTTCTTCACTTTGTAAAATAAGCCAGATGCCCGAGACCTAGGCATTTGTTTCTGTGAGTTTTAGAATGTTCTCCGTAGATATTTTAACAGTTGTCATTTAACTTTGTTTTTCATATTGAATCTATTTTAAATCCACTGGTTTTGATTTATATTTTCTTAGATGGGATTACATTAGCAAGTGATTATCTCATTAAAGAAACACATTCCAAATAACCTTAGGGGTGAGGGGTGGTGGGGCTAATGGAAAATCGTTAACGTTTGAGTGACACATATTTTATTTAGCTCCAAGTTCCCTCACATCAGAAGCCACATTACAGAGTTGAGAAACTGGTATTTCCTAAATAGGCTAAATGGTTTAGCCACTAGGGGCGTTTGAAAATGAAAAATTACAAAAGGACAAATACAAGTTGTAGTATATTGCTTTAATCCTATGATTAAACGCAACTTAATTGGTTTATGTTAGCCTTAGAATACTCAAGTGTGATCTGACTGAAGAAATAGAGGTCACAGCACCAGATTTTAAATAATGGATGTATACCATGAGCTTTAGAATAAGTGTATACTGGGAGAATTGGGAGATGATCTCATCCAAACTGCTTAATTGGCAAAAGAGGAAACCGAAACCCAGAGAAGCTAAGTAACCGCACAAAGTTACTCAGCAAGTTGGTAACAGAAGAGGAACTAGGACAGTAGCCTACAAGGCTACATCACATTCACTGTTGGGTTTTGTTTGTTTTCTTTTTTTTCTGCTATTTTTTTCATTGTATAGAGGTTTTTGGTTCTTCCTCATTTCCTGTGTTGCTTTTCCTCCCTTGTACCAATTTGGAAAAAGTGAAACATACCTGTGTGACTACCAAGTAAGAGAGACAGACTTTTTTTTTTTTTTTAAACGGAGTCTCACTCCGTTGCCCAGGCTGGAGTGCAGAGGTGCGATCTCGGCTCACTGCAACCTCTGCCTCCCAGGTGCAAGCGATTCTCCTGCCTCAGCCTCTTGAGTAGCTGGGATTACAGGTACATGCCACAACGCCCAGCTAATTTTTGTATTTTTAGTAAAGATAGGATTTCACTATGTTGGTCAGGCTGGTCTCGAACTCCTGACCTCATGATCCGCCCTCCTCAGCCTCCCAAGTGCTGGGATTACAGGCGTGAGCCACCGCACTCGGCCTCCTATTTCCACGAATCATACTTAAATGAATAAATGTAAATCCATACCTTTTTTCTCCGGGTGGCTTTAGTTTCTAATAATTAGCAAAGCTGGAAAGAAAATGACTGTCCCTCCACACGGAGGCATGGAAATGACGTGATTCTGTGTAACCTAGAAAAATCGTGAAACACAGCCAGGCATGGTGGCTGAAGCCTGTAATCCCAGCACTTTGGGAGGCCGAGGAAGGCGGATCACAAGGTCAGGAGATGGAGACCATCCCGGCTAAAACGGTGAAACCCCGTCTCTACTAAAAATACAAAAAAATTAGCTGGGCGTGGTGGCGGGTACCTGTAGTCCCAGCTGCTTGGGAGGCTGAGGCAGGAGAATGGCGTGAACCCGGGAGGTGGAGCTTGCAGTGAGCTGAGATTGCGCCACTGCACTCCAGCCTGGGCGACAGAGAGACTCTGTCTCAAAAAAAAAGAAAAAGAAAAAAAAATTAGTTGAAACCTATATATACCTGTTTCTGCTACTTTTTCTTTTCTTTCTTTTTTTTTTTTTTGAGACGGAGTCTGGCTCTGTCGCCCAGGCTGGAGTGCAGTGGCTGGATCTCAGCTCACTGCAAGCTCCGCCTCCCGGGTTTACGCCATTCTCCTGCCTCAGCCTCCGGAGTAGCTGGGACTACAGGCGCCCGCCACCTCGCCCGGCTAGTTTTTTGTATTTTTAGTAGAGACGGGGTTTCACCGTGTTCGCCAGGATGGTCTCGATCTCCTGACCTCGTGATCCGCCCGTCTCGGCCTCCCAAAGTGCTGGAATTACAGGCTTGAGCCACCGCGCCCGGCCTACTTTTTCTTTTAGTAGTTTGGAATATTTGTTGAACCAAGCATCAGAACTATAGAGTGGAGTAGAATGCCCAAGGCTGTATTTCAATTTTCTGGGCTTTGCTTGGCTAGTCTTAACCTTAAGCCTGCTGTGGTATTTTATATACTTGAGGCAACTGAAGAACTGACTATTGCAATCTACCCAAGACATTTACTTAGGCAAAGGTAGGGATTAGCATATTTACACATTTGTCATGTTTCTTCAGAAGTAATACCTGCCAGGATATGCTGTTAAACAAAAGGGCACATATTTAGTTTAGTTATCTTTCGTTTATTCTTCATGGACATGCAAATACTATAGTAGGACTATTTCCTTTCTGGCTGTAGTCATTTCATTCAGTTGAAGTACATAATTCAAGTAACATGTTGCTTAAGTTACTTCTTGTTTAATCATATGGAAATCACAAAATATTTTGTGACACCTTAAAAACATACGAAACAGTTCCTCTAATTTATTAACATGTTTATTTGTATCTGTTATTTACCCCTTCCCACCCCACCAAGGGACCTGCTTCTGGTTAAAAATGTATGTGCATGATATTTGAAATACTTGATAATATAACATGATTTACTGAATTCTAATTCTCACACTACGCACTTAACGACCAAAATATTATGAAAGGTAAATCTAGGAAACACATTTTATTTTACATCGGAAAATATTTACAAAAAATTTGTTAAAATAGCCTCTCTGCGTGCATAGCATTCGCTTGATGCCTGTAAGTTTAGACTCCTGCTCATCCTGATAGAGACCAGTGCAATTCATTTGCATTGACTTTCTATTGCAGAGCTTTGGAACCAAGGGAAGGATCCAAACATAGCTCCATTTTATCCAATCAGAAGGGCCGCTCAGTGCTAAACTCTGATTCGTCCATTCCTCTTTGCATCCATCCAATCATTAGGCGACTTTAACAGCCAATCAGCGGCCTAGATATGCACCAATCATGGAACAGTGCCGAAGCACGGCCTTTGTGTCGGGGGATGTCAGCGCGTCGGCGAAAGCGCCCACCAATAAAAAAAGTCGTTGGTGTATGCAAATAAGGGTTCTATGACGCAGAGACGCAGCGTGAAGCGTGCCTATAAAAACGGAGGCGTCGAGGGGGCTTGGAGCGCAGAGCGGTTTGGTCGTTCGTTGGGCTTGTGTCGGTTTTTAGCTCGGCGATTGCGGCTGTTCTTCGGGCAGCGGAAGCGGCGCGGCGGTCGGAGAAGTGGCCTAAAAGTTCGGCGTTGGGTAGGCATTCGTGGGGTTGCCCGCGGCTGCGGGTTCTGCCAACCGTTGCCGCCGCGGGCCGCGGCTGTTGGGAGCCGAGCGGCGGGGTCTGTTCGGGCAGCTGGTGTCGGGTCGGGTATGGGGTCGGGAGGTTCCCCCTTGGGTCTTTGTTCCGGAACCGCGTCCCCGCCTTTTCCTGGCGGTGATTCAGAGGTCCCGACGCCGGATTCCGGGCAGTCGGGCCTCCGCCCGTCAAGGAAGGGAAGTGACTCCTCCCTGTACTCCCCCTCCCGGGGGAGGCTGCCGCTCCTTGCAGCCTGAGTCATTAGGGGAGGGGGAGGAGGTTGGCGGCCCTCGGCCATCTGCCGCCGCGAGGTGGGGCACGGGGAGGCGGGAGGCCCGGCGGAGGGGCCAGGGCCTGTTCCCCCGCAGCCCCGGGGTGCGGCCCGGGTGAGCGCGGCGGCCTTATCTTCGGGGCGTCTTTCTTAGGTGAAAGAAAATGGCCCGAACCAAGCAGACTGCTCGTAAATCCACCGGTGGGAAAGCGCCCCGCAAGCAGCTGGCCACAAAAGCCGCCAGGAAAAGCGCTCCCTCTACCGGCGGGGTGAAGAAGCCTCATCGCTACAGGTAGGCCGGGCGGGGGAACAATGGCCCGCCGGTGGACGGCTTTGTGCGGCGGCGTCTGCTCACCCCTCCCCTGCTCGCTGCAGGCCCGGGACCGTGGCGCTTCGAGAGATTCGTCGTTATCAGAAGTCGACCGAGCTGCTCATTCGGAAGCTGCCCTTCCAGAGGTTGGTGAGGGAGATCGCTCAGGATTTCAAAACCGACCTGAGGTTTCAGAGCGCGGCCATTGGTGCGCTGCAGGTAAGACAAAGACCTGGAGTCGGGGGAGGGCTGGGCGGTTTCCGCTCCCCGAGGGGGGGGTTAATAGTGTGGCTCTTGTCCTCAACAGGAGGCTAGCGAAGCGTACCTGGTGGGTCTGTTCGAAGATACTAATCTGTGTGCCATCCACGCTAAGAGAGTCACCATCATGCCCAAAGACATCCAGTTGGCTCGCCGGATACGGGGAGAGAGAGCTTAAGTGAAGGCAGTTTTTATGGCGTTTTGTAGTAAATTCTGTAAAATACTTTGGTTTAATTTGTGACTTTTTTTGTAAGAAATTGTTTATAATATGTTGCATTTGTACTTAAGTCATTCCATCTTTCACTCAGGATGAATGCGAAAAGTGACTGTTCACAGACCTCAGTGATGTGAGCACTGTTGCTCAGGAGTGACAAGTTGCTAATATGCAGAAGGGATGGGTGATATTTCTTGCTTCTCATGATGCATGTTTCTGTATGTTAATGACTTGTTGGGTAGCTATTAAGGTACTAGAATTGATAAATGTGTACAGGGTCCTTTTGCAATAAAACTGGTTATGACTTGATCCAAGTGTTTAACAATTGGGGCTGTTAAGTCTGACCATACATCACTGTGATAGAATGTGGGCTTTTTCAAGGGTGAAGATACAAGTCTTAACCACAGTGTAACTTACAGTTTCCTTTAAAGAGAAAAAAAAAAAAAAAAAAGTAAACCTGGCAGCTATAGAATACACTATGTGCATTTATAATAGCTATTTTATATATTGTAGTGTCAACATTTTTAAATTAAATGTTTTACATTCACAAGTGGTGGGGAGTCTTGTCATTAAGATGTGTGTAATTTAGAGTCCAGTTGGTTCTCTTCTGACTGCACTTGTTCTCATAGTAGTAAAATGCTATGCGCATTTATACCTTGCATAAGTCCTCATTCTACCACATGGTATCTAACCCTCTAGCTGATAATGCAAACACTAACTGGGGGATTTTATTTATAAGGGCTCTAGAAAAAAATACAAGTTATTCACACCAGCATCATCTATTAACTAATATTCTGAACTAGTTAGTGCAGCTTTTCATTGTGTTGTGTGGTTGGTCTCATAACTAGGTTGAGTTTTTCTCCTCTGCTAAGAGGAAACAGTACCGAAGTTCTTTTTCTTGTGGCATTTGTATTATAAAAACTTGCTGTGGGGGAGGAGCATAAAGCTCCAGCCCACTGAACCTCTGCCAATTAAGATGGTGTTGGGTTAGGTTACATCTGGTTACTGTCCTGGGAAAATCATTTTTATAGAGATGGCCTTCCAAGTGGTTTTAAAATTTATCTTATTGAAGTTTTTAGGTCAATTATGTATGTTGACTAAATTTACAAATAAACTTGTTTATCCAACTAAGTGTCCAAAACCTAAATTGAATGTGCTAAGTTTTCACATGACCCATTATCTAGGTCCTTGTATATAATGTTTTGAGCTTAGTTCATTTCAGGTGTTGCTTGGTAGACAAAGGAACCTTTTATTTACAAAGATACTGTAGAAAGCATGTGAACAGCTCTCTGCTTTATTAAGATGCCATAATAACTGCCGTATTTGCAGCGTGGGTTAAGACAAACTATCAGTAAGCCTTTCCCCCACTCCCGTTCCATAGCATAGAAGCCCGCAGGTGTAGAACTCACTCTTAAGTGTGAAGCCAGTTTTCTTGTGCAATGATGGCCACAAAAGCGTAGTATGTGGATGTCAGCGAGACAGCATGAGAGCCAGCAATCATCAAAGCATTCCTGTTTGAAGCTAGCGACTGCTTACAGTTCTGCCCCATTAAAATTGCTTTCTCGAAAGTTTGGGTTATAAGATTTTAGAGGGAAGGTAGAGTAGGTATCTTTCAGGTCGTGATTATGAGCTCCTATGAAAGAATGTAATGTGATCCGCTTTTCTAGAAGATTCATAATCAGCTCTGGAACAAGCACACTTAAATGATTCCTCAGTGTGTTTCAGAATGAGATTAAGATCAGACGTTGGAATGTGCTATGCTCTGGAGTGTCTGGAAACAAGTACAGAAACCTGGCTATGGTGATGAGTTAGCTTCTGTTTACTACCTGTGACAACCCAAGTGGGTGACACTAGTGAACCTTCTCCCGTAGTCTGCAGGCTGGCATAGAAGGTTCTCGGATTATATTGGGCAGCTTGCAGTCTGCCGAAGTAGCAACTTGCCTTTCCACACTTGGCTTGAGCACTCAACCCAGAAGGCAAAGAGAGCTTTTGGTTGTAGGCAGCTGCCTGTATGGCATATCCCTCGGTAAGGGTAAAGGAGCAGAGGCAAAGGAGAAAAGCAGAAGTTGGAGCTGATGCAGGTATCCTATGCCCTTGATGGATGAGACTAAAATAAAATTTTTGAAGTTAAGATTTTCTCATTTTGTCAATGGTTTTCATTCGAATGATAATGTCTTTTAAAAAGTTTGGGGAAATGTCCACAAAGCACTCACTTCTGATTCAGCTGGGGCTGGGATGTGCGCATTCAATAATAAGGAAGCTCCCTATTGAGGTGACCTCAGTGACAGTTTCCCCGGGACAGTGCCAATCTGTGCCTGTTTGTGTATTTATTTTGAGGAGTCTTTGTTGCCAGGCTGGAGTACAGTGGCACGATCTCGGCTCACTGCAACCCCCGCCTCCCAGGTTCAAGCGATTCTCCTGCCTGAGCATCCCGAGTAGCTGGGACTACAGGCAAACGCCACCACACTCAGCTAATTTTTGTATTTTTAGTAGAGACGGGGTTTCACCATGTTGGCCAGGCTGGTCTCGATCTCTTGACCTCGTGATCCGCTCACCTCGGCCTCCCAAAGTGCTGGGATTACAGGCATGAGCCACCGTGCCCGGCCAGTGTATTTACTTTTTAGAGACGGGGTCTCCCTATGTTGCCCAGGTTGGTCTCAAACTCAAAGGAGCTAGGATTACAGGTGTGAGCCGCTAGGCCCGGCCTGAAGTGTATTTAATAGTGCCTCTGTTTACTGTCCTCTGTCCCAATTTGGCAAATTATGCAGTCGTTCTACCTACCCATATGGCATGGTGACGTGAGGTGGGGACCCAGTGAATCTTGTGTAGGGACATGTCTCAGGAAAATAAGGTCAAATTGCTTACCCACCAATATTCTAATTATACCACCTTCAATCTGCAAATGGGACGTAATTTGTCTTGTCCCTTAAACTTCAATCATCTGGCCCACATAGCAGTCAGTTTGGGGATGAAGCAGGGCTGTTTTACCCAGCACCAGGGGTCCACAGTGTAACTACAAAATAGGGAAACGGAGGGGTGAAGAGGAAGATGGGAGAAATAAAGGGCAACAAGTGTTCCCTCACCAAGAGTGGACCCGGCTTCTGACGTGCAACTTCATCATGAACAAGTGGTCTTCCAGCCACCTTCCCGAAGACACAGGCTAAGGGCTTCAGGACAAGTGGAGTGGCTTGGTTTTCAGAATTACTGGGGGCCAGAGTCCTGTCAGGACCTTGGGTAATTTTAGCACCTGGCCCACTGGTCCTGGCCTAGGGACCATCAGCCAAAGAGAAGAAGAGGCCCTGAACGGACTGCCTGGATTGGAAATTAACAGTTTCCCACTCATCAGTTCACTGGATGATACCCCAACAGCGGTCTCTGCTGCTCAGCTCCCCCTGCCTGGCTCCTTGCACACTGCCTGGTGTCAGGTGTCAGGGTGGGGTCTTGCAGCCTTGGGAAAACAGTCCCTTTCTCCTGAATCACCTTCAGGTAGGTCAGTAGAGGGAGGAACACCACGGAACACCGGTCAGCTGTCTGCAATTCAATCAGCAGGAAACAAGGGCTTGCCCTATGGTTTCTGCAAGATGGTCCTGGCCTGTGTTCAGATTCAGAGACTGAGGCCTATGGCCAGTCTAGCCCGCCATAGAGAAGCATCAGGTGGGGAGTTTTCACCCGTTCTGCAGTTGTCTTACAGGGGGTGCTGTGGTCCACCAGGCATGAGATGCTTGAGCCCCTATCCTGGGCACACTCTCCCCATCCCTTGGGGCGGGAGCATTTTAATCATCTTGCCAAAGGAATCGCAGCCCACCTCTCTCAGCCCTACCCCAGGCACTAATCAGTCCCACTGAGGCTGAGCTGGGTGCACCTTGCCCGGGCCCTCACAGCCTCTTCCCTCACCCCTATGGTGCTCCTGCCTGCTTCTGTGGGCATTCCTCAGGGAGATGACCTGATCACAAGGATGTCACCAGCCTGGACCATTCTTACCAAGCTGGGCCTGGCTTCTGACCAGCAACAGCTGCATGAAAGCTGGCCTTCCAGCGTCGTCCTCCAAGTTAAGGCTAGAAGACGGGGAGAAGGGGTAGGCCCCTGTCGGGTTGCCAACCCAAATTCTACAGCACCCTCAGAAGACTAAGGATGCCCTCTTCTTGGGCCGGGTGGCTGGCCTTTTCCCTCCCTGATCCCTTTGTCAGCAGGTCTGGGAAATGAGGGAGGCTGCAGGCCGAGGTGGGTGCAGCTGAGACAGCTCTGTGTTTATGCACAGAGGAGTTTGTACAAGGCCTCTATTGCGAGGGGCTGTGGAGTGAGAAGGGGCTGTGGTGTGAGAAGGGGCTGTGGAGTGAGAAGGGGCTGTGGAGTGAGAAGGGGCTGTGGTGTGAGAAGGGGCAGGGTACTCCTGCTCCCTGTGGTCCTGCTGATGGCCCAGCAGCCCCTGGCTATCAGTGATTCCACCAGACACTCTCTCCAAGCAAAGAGTCACAGGATTTCTCTGGGATGCGCCCCAGCATGTCCTGGTGTCTTCATCTGAGCACTATGCCCAGTGGCCAGCAGGGGCCAGTCTTGCAGATCACGCACACCTGGGAGCAGCGCTTCTGAGCTGTCTCCCGAGCAGAGGTCTCTCCATGCGAGCCCAGCCTGCCTCCTACTTCATAACCCCTCCCCATGGAGCAAGCTAAGAGGTCCTACAGTCACCTCCTACTGGGAAAGCAAGAAGTGGGGGCTTCAGTGAGGCTGTAGCTCCTGGAGGAGCAGTAAGGCCATGTGTCATCTGGAAAAGGGTGCAGAGAGAGGGACACGGTGAGGCAGCCAGGGTTTGGGGCCTTCTCGCTGGCAGCTGCTAGCTCTTATCAGGAAGCTGCAGTTCTGGGGATACACACAGTGGGATGGAGGGTGGGCAGAAAGGGAGAGGTTCATCTCAGACATCACCAGTACCAGGGACAAGAGGGCTCCGGGGAAGGAGAGGGAGATGGGCTGCAGGCTTAGGGCAGGTGGCCTTTGCTGAGCAGTGTGTGAGGGATTGTGCCTGTCCCCATGGAGGTGGAACCTGGGCTTCGTTAAATCCCTATTCACGTACCACCTCCTACGTTGGCCACACTTTCCCTCCATAAGCTCCTCTCTGCCAGGCACTGAGCCAGGGGGCCAAGCAGAGGGGTCAGGAGGGGCTTGGGTCCACAGCCCAGGCATCACGGCCCCCACAGGGCTCTCCCTCCCCAGTTCTGCACCTGCAGCTAGTCTCAATCCACCTGCCCACTGCCAGTGGCCTGAGGCGTGGGCAGCTGCAGTGCCAGCCAGCAGCTTTCCAGCCAGTGTAAGGTGCAAGAGGAGACAGCCTCGGCCCTAAGCCATCAGCTGCACCTTGTAGGTCTGGACATGCTCCTTGGCCAGCAGCAGGGTGGTTGTCAACCTAGAGGGCGGAACTTCAGGGACAGAGTTGGGGCAGCAAACAGAGACAAGACCTGCAGCTGGGTTATCTGAGCAGGGGCATCTGAGACCGGAGGGGGACGAGAAGCTCCGGTGCTCTGAAGGCAGGGAATGAGTGTATCTGCCTCTGGAATCATGCCTGGCACATAACAGAAGTTCCTTTTTTTTTGTTTTTTTGAGACAGAGTCTCGTTCTGTCACCCAGGCTGGAGTGCAGTGGCCGGATCTCAGCTCACTGCAAGCTCCGCCTCCCGGGTTTACGCCATTCTCCTGCCTCAGCCTCCCGAGTAGCTGGGACTACAGGTGCCCACCACCATGCCCGGCTAGTTTTTTGTATTTTTTTAGTAGAGACGGGGTTTCACCGTGTTAGCCAGGATGGTCTCGATCTCCTGACCTCGTGATCCGCCCGCCTCGGCCTCCCAAAGTGCTGGGATTACAGGCTTGAGCCACTGCGCCCGGCCTACATAACAGAAGTTCCAGGAGTGACTGCTGACCAAACCAAACGGCCCCAGCAGCCCCCAAGCACAGCTGGCTGGATCTGCTTCCAGTATTGGTGGCAAAGAATCAGTCTGGTTCCCAAAAGCTTTGGTTACTGGCCTGGTTTCCAAACCGAGAGTGTTTCGTGTAGTAACTGAGTCTGAGAGAGCAGCTGCCCCTCCTGTCCATCACCAAGAGGCTGAGCTTTAACTCTTGACACTTTCGTAAGCAGAGGC